AGATTGTGACGTGTGACAGCCCTGTTCTAGATTGTGACGTGTGACAGCCCTGTTCTAGATTGTGACGTGTGACAGCCCTGTTCTAGATTGTGACGTGTGACAGCCCTGTTCTAGATTGTGACGTGTGACAGCCCTGTTCTAGATTGTGACGTGTGACAGCCCTGTTCTAGATTGTGACGTGTGACAGCCCTGTTCTAGATTGTGATGTGTGGCAGCCCTACTCTAGATTGTGACGTGTGACAGCCCTGTTCTAGATTGTGACGTGTGACAGCCCTGTTCTAGATTGTGACGTGTGACAGCCCTGTTCTAGATTGTGACGTGTGACAGCCCTGTTCTAGATTGTGACGTGTGACAGCCCTGTTCTAGATTGTGACGTGTGACAGCCCTGTTCTAGATTGTGATGTGTGGCAGCCCTACTCTAGATTGTGACGTGTGACAGCCCTGTTCTAGATTGTGACGTGTGACAGCCCTGTTCTAGATTGTGACGTGTGACAGCCCTGTTCTAGATTGTGATGTGTGACAGCCCTGTTCTAGATTGTGACGTGTGACAGCCCTGTTCTAGATTGTGACGTGTGACAGCCCTGTTCTAGATTGTGACGTGTGACAGCCCTGTTCTAGATTGTGACGTGTGACAGCCCTGTTCTAGATTGTGACGTGTGACAGCCCTGTTCTAGATTGTGACGTGTGACAGCCCTGTTCTAGATTGTGACGTGTGACAGCCCTGTTCTAGATTGTGACGTGTGACAGCCCTGTTCTAGATTGTGACGTGTGACAGCCCTGTTCTAGATTGTGATGTGTGGCAGCCCTACTCTAGATTGTGACGTGTGACAGCCCTGTTCTAGATTGTGACGTGTGACAGCCCTGTTCTAGATTGTGACGTGTGACAGCCCTGTTCTAGATTGTGACGTGTGACAGCCCTGTTCTAGATTGTGACGTGTGACAGCCCTGTTCTAGATTGTGACGTGTGACAGCCCTGTTCTAGATTGTGATGTGTGGCAGCCCTACTCTAGATTGTGACGTGTGACAGCCCTGTTCTAGATTGTGACGTGTGACAGCCCTGTTCTAGATTGTGACGTGTGACAGCCCTGTTCTAGATTGTGACGTGTGACAGCCCTGTTCTAGATTGTGTTGTGTGACAGCCCTGTTCTAGATTTTCTTGTGTGACAGCCCTGTTCTAGATTGTGACGTGTGACAGCCCTGTTCTAGATTGTGACGTGTGACAGCCCTGTTCTAGATTGTGTTGTGACAGCCCTGTTCTAGATTGTTTTGTGTGACAGCCCTGTTCTAGATTGTGTCGTGTGACAGCCCTGTTCTAGATTGTGTCGTGTGACAGCCCTGTTCTAGATTGTGACGTGTGACAGCCCTGTTCTAGATTGTGATGTGTGACAGCCCTGTTCTAGATTGTGTTGTGTGACAGCCCTGTTCTAGATTGTGTTGTGTGACAGCCCTGTTCTAGATTGTCTTGTGTGACAGCCCTGTTCTAGATTGTGTTGTGTGACAGCCCTGTTCTAGATTGTGTTGTGTGACAGCCCTGTTCTAGATTGTCTTGTGTGACAGCCCTGTTCTAGATTGTGTTGTGTGACAGCCCTGTTCTAGATTGTGTTGTGTGACAGCCCTGTTCTAGATTGTCTTGTGTGACAGCCCTGTTCTAGATTGTGTTGTGTGACAGCCCTGTTCTAGATTGTGTTGTGTGACAGCCCTGTTCTAGATTGTGTTGTGTGACAGCCCTGTTCTAGATTGTCTTGTGTGACAGCCCTGTTCTAGATTGTGTCGTGTGACAGCCCCATAACGTCGGGCTGGCACCAGGCGGGGATTGCCCCCCCCCCCCCACACGCCTCACATCTGCTGAAGGTTCAGCCCCCCTCCCCTCAAAATTCTTACAGTAAAGTCAAAACTGTTGTACGCTCCCTACACCCAGACCCCCCCCCCCCTCGTATAACAAGGTCACGCGCTGCAGGAAGGATTTGCTGTGACGCTCTGCTCGTGCGATGCGTCGCTGTGTTCCCAGCGCCAGTAAGCATTCAACAAACCCACGTTGCTCGTTTTAAGCGCGCGCGCGCCGATGAAGAAGGGTCAAATGTCACGGCGTGAATCGGAGTGGCCGTGTGGGGACATCTGCTTGTCGACTGGGGCGGGCGGGGGGGGCGGGCAACCAATCGTCGCAATTCGTCTGGTGACATTCACTGTCGCGAACGCTGGCATGAAACACAAGCGTTTTTTTTTTTAAATCCATGTATACGATGGACTATGTAATGTTTATTAACATAAATCACATTATGTACGCGTACAAGGATAATGCCCATATATACTATAATATTTGTACAAGTTTTATTTTACCAGGTAAGGCCCACTGAACTATCTAGATATTTTTCACAAGCGACCTGGCCACAAATGATAGCTCAACGAAGTGGTTTATTTGGTGGCAATGTATAGCAACTAAATTGCTTGAAAATTATGTTTGTAAATGTGGAGGGAAAAACCGAAGAACCTGGAGAAAAATCCACGCGACCACGAGGAGAACATGCAAACTCCAAATATACAGTTATCAGGATCGGGGTCAAACCCACGACCTCCGGCAGGCAAACATGAGAACCGGGTTTCCTAAACGCCAGTCCCTTGCGACCCACCACGACACGTCTGTCCGCGTTTACTCCTCCCCATCCAAATTCACTCGTTCCACGCTGCACGCACCCGATGATTGTTAAGCTCGTCTCACGTGAGGTGCTAAGCAATTAACGCTATCTACGTCACGTAAAATACGTGTATACACAAAGATCCCCCATATAGCCTTAACATACTGTAGGGGCAAGTGCTGTTAGCGAGCACCTATGAAGGCCGGAACGGTACACGAGGGGGTGGGTGGCCAGCACCACGCTCGACCGCCTTTGTCTCCCTAGTGGCAATGTTTACACACCGCACCAGGTACTCATTTGAGGCTGAGTCGACCTAAGGGAGGCCCGGGACCGGTTCAGATAATCGTCACTGGTGTTGGCCGTGAGCGGGAATCGAACCCGGGTCGCCACGTTCATAGCGCAACGCGCTAACCGCTACACTACCGCTCCACACACACACACAGCCACGCACACTGAGATCTCGATCTTAATAACGCAAAAAACCCGCTAAATGCTTAGCGTATACACTTGGGGCGTGTTTACCAATCATCGGGCGCGTTCAGTGCGGAACGAGTTCAAATTTGTATTTGAACGGGGACTAAACCGGCAGACGCGGAATCATGTAGCGTGTTGGGTCGCGAGGACTGAAGTTTGGGAAACCGTGTACTCGGCATTGCACTCACAACATGGCAAACACAACGCGTACACCCTTTGACTCGTGGTACATGTCTGCTGTGGCGTGTACTGTACATACATACACGAGATTAGTACGTGACCCCGGCGAATGTAATGCAATGGGGATTGTATGTGTGTTTTTTTTCCTCTTAACCTTCGTCGTTTTTTATTTTATAATCGTCTCTTCAAGCGCCGGTGTCGCGTTTCCGTGCAACTGCCATAGTTGCATTTAAAGGCGACAATAACAAAAAAGCTTCGTGCTGTCGTGAGAGGGGGGGGGGGGGAGCGCGGTGTTGTTGCCTACACGAGGCACGACTCGGCTTCGTCAATATACTCAAGGAAAAAAATGAGTGTTTACATTCAATGCCTCCTCCTCCTACTCCCCCATAAGCAGCTCTACCCCCAAACCATTCGGTTAGAAAGCATTTCAAAGTACTGTACGACAACATCAGTTTGGCAAATGATGCTCCCTTAATCTGTTCAGAAACGCCAGCGGCGGTAAACTAAACAAATATTTACCAAACCCCAACCTCTGCATCTGATAGTATGTCATTAACAATCACACAGATGATTCGTACGCGATTTGGAAATGGTTGAAGTATGATTTTTTTTTAGCATTCCACGTTCCAACAAATGTGAGTTAACCACAGCAGCAGCGCGATTAAACCAATTACAACCGCGGGTGCGTGTACGGCGCGCTGTCCGATAAACTCTCAAGTGGACTTTACTGCCCCGCCATTAAGGCCATTATCAATGAATTACGTCGGCGGCGAGGCAGATTAGATTTGTGACGATTTGGAGCGTTCTCTCCGGCTGGATGGATGACTGCAGCCCGTGCATTACGCACAAGAGCCGGACTCGTGGAACGGAGTTCCACGTCAAGTTTTGAGAGTCATATTTTTGTTTGAAATCTGGCGTCAAGTGTGTCATTAGAGCGGGCAGTTTTGTCGACTCGTTATAAAGCGACTCTGTGACTTACGCCGACTGGCATCACGGCTCTCAAACTAGCGGCGACGATCGCCGTGAAGGCGCGCGCGTTAATTTACAACTTTGGGCAAACACACGCACGGGCGGCCCATTCATTAGACGCGTGGGCTGTCGATGATAACGACGAGAATTAGCAGCAACAGGAGGAGTACGGAGGTGGTGAATCAACAGGCTGATGATGATCATTATAATGATGAGAAGATTAGGCGGATGATGATGATGAGGAGGGGGAGAAGAGGGAGTGGCGATAATGGGTTGAAAAGCAGACAGATGAAGATGATTAGACGGATGAAAAGAAGGTGGTTGAGGCAGATCGTGATCGACTTTGAAAGAGGTAGGCGAAGGAGGAGTAAATTGACGTTTAAGAGGAATAGGCAGACGCTGTTGCAGATGTAAATGTTACTGAGAAGGTGGAACATGAGAGCAATTGTCAAGATAATCACAGAAAGAGGAAGATGTGGTTGTGGGGTAAGACAAATAACGTTGACGGTTAGAAGGAAAACGGAGGGAGAATATTGATGTGATGGAAGAGAAATCGGCTGACGACGACGACGATTACAATGCTTACGATGCCGGGGCGAACGATGATTACAACGACAACGAGGAGGATTTGTCGGTATAGTAAAGCGGGGCAGGACACACAATCACGCTCGCTCACTCACGAGTCTCATCCCGCTTAGACCCCCCCCCCACTCCCCATCACAAACCCGACGTGTCTCTACTCACATTCTCTCGGCGTTGCGAGGGATGCCTTTGGGCACGGCGCGGAATCCCAGGTTCTGGCAGTCCACGGTGGTGCCCGTGCAGGTGCAGAGCGCCGGGCACGCGGCCCAGGCGCCGCTCCCGGCCAAGGCGAGGCACAGGAGGCCGGCGGCGGCGGCGAGCAGAGCCACGGGGCGCGTCGCTCCGGGCATCTTCGCGCGCGGTGAACGACGGGCACGGCAGACACGTCCTGTGTCTACGCTATTCACCCCCCCCCTCCCCCCTTCAGCAGCACACTCTGGCGTACGTAGGCTTGACTGCGGGTGTTCACGGGGAAGGAAAGGATTGTGCGGAGGGGGGTGATGGGGATGACTAACAAAATGAAATATTTAAAGGCGCACTTTCTAGCGCTGGGAACGGGTGCGTCGCATTAACAGTGACCAGCGGCTCCGATGTTGCTTTGCTCTTTTGCGCATTTGATTGATGAGCGAGTGTGGTCGTTTGAGGTACCGAGACCCCCCCCCCGTGCCCCCCCCCCGGCGCCCCCCCCAGCCCCCCCCCTTTCCGCTCGTGCTGCAATGCTCCGTCCCACGCAGAACACGGGGGCTTTAATGATTCCTCCTGTCAACAATTCAAGAACGATCTCTGCACCGCACCGAAGATCAGTTCTTCCCCCGTTGAAGCTGCCCGAAGCTGCCCGGGGATCCTGCGTCTCACGTAAGGCGCCACGACCACGACCACCACCACCACCACCACCCACCCACCCGGCTTCGACCGCTCCGCACTTCAGGATGATGACGACGATGATGACAGTGATGATGGCGATATGATTATAATCACGACTGCTCCCAATGATACGAATGGCAAACAACAGCAGCGATAGCACAAGCGAGCAGAGTCAAGAACACCGTGAGCCGCCGCCGCAGCAGCCTTCTCCTCGACGTGCGTGTACGCGTGTGTTTGTATTATTCTATTATTAAAGCGGGCGGCTCTGGTGGTGCACGGCTCTGCGTGCCGCACCAAGGAGTTGTGTTCGCTGCGCTCGGCCATAAACCAATCCCGGGCTTCCTCGCCTTGCTTCGCCCGGCCCATTCATTTCGCCTGTCAGCGAATAGAAAAACGGCCCACGGCTCGCGCTGGGAGGCGGTGGAGTCTCGGGCAGGGAGAGAGAGAGAGAGCAGAGAGCGCGTGGTGTGGTGCGTGGAGCCTGGGCTAGTGGGATGGATGGATGGAGATGGTAATAATGGTAGTGGCGCGGAGTGGTGGTGTGATGGGGGTTAAGAGACGAGTGCTTTGTTTCGTTTTAAAACAACAACAACAACAAAAAAACAACGATTGCTGAGCACAGGAGCCAAGCGCCCCAAAGCGCCAAGCGGGCAGCAACACGCTGCACTCGAAGTTGCATCGGATGTCGAAGCTGCACGATAGAGATCTCTTTGGAGGGGTACGGAGCGAGGCTGAGATACGTTATAATACAGGGAGTCGTTTCTGGTGTCGTGGGGTAAGGGGTCTAGAAGGTCGGTAGCTGGAGGCGAGGGTCCTGGCTGGCTGGAATGTTGGGGCGGGGTAAAATCGAGGGAGGTTAAGAGATTTATACCTCTTTCAAGACGTCTGGTCGGCGTGGAAGAGTAGGCCAAATACGTCCTCTCTAGAGGGGCTCTCTGGCGCTCCCTCTAAAGGAGGTCCATCCGTCAGCAGTGGCGGTGAGCACGCAAATTGCAGGGCTGCACCTTTACATCCACATTAGGTGTTGTATCCAATGCAATGATACATACACGTAGCTTGTGACAGTGTGATGTGATGGGGCGGGAGAGTGGGGGGCGTCATGGGGTGTGGGGGGGGATCGATGGATGGAGAGGGGCTGGGTGGTTCTGTTTGGCTGTGGGGGGGGGATAGCCAGGTTAAGAGATGTGTACTGCACAATATTTATTCAGTATTTATACTTTGTATTGTCTAAGAATGTTTTTTTGTAAAAGTGTTTTCAGGGTTTATTTAAATAATGTTGTTATTAGTTTATGTGGCATAGAGTAACATCACTTATTTCAATTGAGATGCGTATATGTTTGTTTGCCGTGTCCCGAACCCCATTATTTCATTAAGGGGTAAGTATCGAAAATCGCTGTTGAGGCTTCACGCAGCACTTTCCAAGAACGTAACCCCCCGCGATATTCAAGGGTCTCGTGTACAATACTCCACGTATATATGCACTCTGTTAGTGCTGTGGAGATGAGGTGGGGGGGGGGGGGGGGCTCATTTGGCCCGGAATGGGGGGCGGGGGTGGTGGCGGGGTTGGATGATGGCTTCGTGCACGAGGCGGAGTAGCTTGCTGGGTCGAGCGCGGCGCGGCGAGAGAGAGTGTGAGTGAGGAGTCGGGTGGTTTGTGTGGACGGGGGAGGGGGGGTAGGAGAATGGTGGTGGTTGTGGTGGGGGGGGGTCTCATATTTCCAGTCGTTTCCCACGGGACTGTCAATTGATTTTGTAATGATGTTATAGATTTTCTTCAGTGGGAAGCGTACTAAATCAGCGCAGCAGATCTCGTGTCGCGAGAGTCGTCGCTCGCTTCGGTCAGGAAATCCGCGCAGCCCGTCGACGTTTCGCTGCTTCTTCTTTGTGCAGTCCCTCGAGAAATCTCCGCAGGAACCGCTGGATAAGCTCAACGCACGTGGAGCGAAACGTCTGACATCGCGCCGACCAATTCGAGATCCTACCCCGAAAAAAAAACCACATTGGGGAGGATGTGCAGCTCAACCTGAAAAACCTGGCGAATCGTCGTGGCGCTAGCATTGAGCCGGGCTGGTGGTGGCACGATGTTGCCATACCCTGGCTCGCCAGGAGGAGGCGGTACAGGCAACAATATGTGCATTCCACCTGTTCCGTCCGTATGGGGATAGAGTGTTTCTCCCTCGCGCGAGTATGGTTTTCTCCCGCCCGCGCGCTCCCGTTTCATCCCACGTGTATGCGCTCATTAAATTGGCCGGCAAAACACCTTAACGTTATGGTGGACCGCAAAGCTTGGGCAATTTGTTGGCGCCGGTCCACCGCGTGGTCGCTGCCTTCGCAGGTTGTCTGTGGTTCCTCCTCCTCCTCGCGCCTCTTCGAGAGGTGAACGAATTACGTTGCGGCAATGGCTCCGCGTTACAAGCAGAGATCGGATCAAGGCACGGGGTTTCAGGGCCTGCAGCCCAGGGGGCCTCCGCCAGCTGGAGGGCCTCCAGAGATGAAGTGAAAAGTTATTTCATTTGTGAATGCTGAATTGTATTTGTTGTAGGCCTTGTAAAAAAATACCATTTTATTTTTCTTTAACTTTGTTTTCCTTTGGAAAATATTACTGGGGGCCTCACAGTACCTGTACCCCAGGGGCCTGCAAAATCTTAATCCGGCCCTGGTTACAAGTTGAAATTATTGATAGTGCGCGATCGAGCAAATACCCAGGGCTCAGTGTGCATCATTTACATATTATCTAACCGTCGTCATCAGCAACCGTGGTCAATTCCGCTGCTGGATGAAGGCCACCGCAATCCCTTTTCACGGACAACTCTGCACACCCTGCACATACCTAATGCCCCTACCTGTGTACCTACCCACCCGCTCCACGCGGTCCGATAGCAGAGCTCTCATATTCCGCGGTGGAAGCCCTCAATTGGGTGCGTTCCCTGCTTTGTTTCGCACTGCGTCATATTCCCCAATCGGTCACAGAGCAATCCTTGAACCTCCGATGAGCACGGTTGGCGATGTACGGCGCGAAAGAAGTTCGACGTGCCTACGTACCAACGCGTCACGGAGCGGGTGTTATCCTGCGAGCGTGGTGCAACTTGTGCCACAGCGTGGGCGTTCGCTTGCCCTCTGTCAATCCACTGCTGGATGAAAGCCTCCTCGTGTCGTGTCGGTCGGCCGTGGAGGTTGTTTGACCATACTTCACTACGCTTGTCATTGCGGGTTGATGGAAGTCGGGGGTGGGGGGGGGGCGAGGCACTGAATCGGTTCAGAAATCACTCCCCGGTAAAGCCACGTTTCCAGTGTCCGCGTTCATAGCAAGTGTGCTAACTACGGCGCCACCGCTCCTCCATACATAAGCTTGCACGTTTCTCTTTGAGCAGTTGTCGTTTTCGCGAAGGGTAGACATCCAGACGTATGGACGGTCCACAACAGTTTAATTTATTTCTACATCATTTTGCATGTGAAAATCTAGCCGAAACAAAGCGTACGATCATTGCAATTCGGCCTCTTTAACAATTACAAAATTCACGGCTGTTTTTTTTGTTTTTCGTTGTTGGAAAACGCACACTGACCATGCAAGGGCGAGGGGGGGGGGGGGGAGTGCCTCTTCTCATCCGGAGAATACGGATACGGAAAGTCCTCTTCGCACACACATGTGAAGAGCGTCAAAGTCTTAAGATGTATCAAGGAGCTATTCTGCCACTGACTATTATCGCTAATCCACATCGATATTACCGTCTGCATTACCGTAATGCGCATGCCACCCTGTGTTTGTACAGCGTTTTGAGATGCAGCTGTAATGAAGACGCAATTCGAATCCAGATTGCGTTACATTCTGCCAGGTGCATTCTGCTGACAAGCCTATGCACTGCTTGGGTTACAGCCACCTGGTGCTGTACGTGCTGGCAGTTGCTGTGCAACACGTGTACTAGCACTTACTGTAGGACACGTGTACTATATTCTCAATCACGATAGAACACGTGTACTAGCAATTACTCGAGATAACACGTGTGCGCTTGAAATATGAATCAATGCACACACACACACACGAGGCCGCACATCGATGCCCGAAATGAAAGGCGACTCCATGTCCATGGTAATGGGCGCGCGTGGCAGAGTTACGAGTCGTGGTGCACGCCATCTATGAGTCGGTGTCATTTGAGCTGTCGATATTAAAATAGCTAAACTCGATCGATTTGGTGAATTCATTACGCTCCGTGGGAAGGGCGAGCGGTGGGCCAGATTGAGTCCTCGTTACGGAATCAGAATTTGTATTTATCCTGGAGAAATCCGATGATTTATGAAGCTATATTTCCACGGATGACCAATAGTGGCGGTCAGAACGATACAACGTTCAGTACAAACATCAACGATAGGAGTGCAAAGTATAGGGAAGTAAAGCAGAAGCCATGCGAGTAGCATCCATGCCGGCGATTCAATTAATCGTCAATAGCCTTTTTTATCATGTTGAATATATAGCGGCATCTAGCGTCTGCTGAGTCACATGATGCATTCACACGGGACATAGAAATCGGCAAACGTGCGATGTTTTACTACGAAATTCGTTTAAATGCATGACATTGGCTTAGATGGTAAATCATGCGATTCATCGATGCGTTGTAATACCCCGAGCTGAATTATTTTTCACACGGTCTTGTCTGTGGTCTTCACGATGCCCAATGCGAATTAATGGTGATCGTATGGGAATAACAATGCATCACCGATATTTGTGCCAACGTTAATGTGAATCAATAGCCCCTGGGTGCATTTTACATTGCGTGTGTAAGGTGCAAGTTGAAATGAATTATTTGA